TTAAATAACATGAGGTTGCTGATTTAATTGTTTTCTTTTAATTTTTTAGAATTTTTGTGTTCCTGCCTCTTGGCTTGGCAAAACAGTAATTCTTTCAGATATTGGGAAGAATCTGGGTCTCAGATTTATATTTTGATAAAATTCGATAGCGGCACTTTTGAGAATTTTTTTTCTGTTAATTACTTCCTTTATTACTAAGTGTGGCATTCAATAGGTTTCATGCCTTCCTTGGTTCAATTAACTCTTACTAAGGCTGTAATTGTTTAACCAAGTTCCGCATGGTGTTCAAATATTTAGGAGCAAAAATAACAGCAATATATTTTTATATAAAAATTACCAATAATATGCGCTAACATATTGTAGCTAATCCGTTTAAAATAATACAAAAAAAAAACATAATAAAAGAACTTTCATGACATGAAACCATATGTTAGGTTGGTGCAAAAGTTTTGCACCAACCTAATAAAATCCTCCGATTTCTTAAATCAAACTGTATTTCAAAATATAACATCAAAAAACCGCAAAAAATACACATATCCCCGCCTCTAGTAAACATCCACACAGACATCTGTATGCTTAAAAGCTGAGTATAATCTACCATTTATTCAATTGTGAAAGCTAAATAATATATCATATTTTTATTACTTCCAAGATAACAAGAAAATTAAATTTCGGTATTAAATGACCCATACGGAGTTGATATGCCGTTAAACAGACAAATCAATCAATCCAGATTCATATAAAAAAATGCGAGGATCGAGCGTTTTATAGAATAACTATTATCTTAGTTACGATAGCTGTTGACCTTTTAATTCTTTAGTGACCGTATTGAATTCAAACAAAACTAATTTCACTCACGTTAATCTTCTTCATTTTTAAGTGACAATCTCAAATCTTGATACGACACTACCGTTTCTGTGAACCTAAAATAACCATAATATATTTTCCTCAAAATGGCACTCATTGCTCTGAATACTACGTTATTATCGTCCCTGACTCTTTTATATGCACGAAACTTTACCCATTACCTACATTCATATCAGTTTGAAACACCGGTTCTCGTCAGATCACCAACGTTAAGCCTGGTCATTACTTACGTGAATGGACTAAAAAGTTCAGAGGTTGACTATGAAGGAGTGAAGCTTGAGCTGTGAAATCTTGCATGGGTTCATTTCAACTCTTCTTATTATGCATTTCCAGGTAAACTGACATCTGTTCAAAGAAAATCGCCTATCCTATTGGTTGAAAAAGTCACTAACAGTATATATGAAGTTATCAACACTGCTATACTGTTTGTCAGTCGTGTTTTTTCATGTCAGATAACAGATGATAGTTAAATCAGCAGAGTAGAGAGATTGGTCAACTAGTTTTGAATCACAGTCACGCACAGCGGTCATTTAAGCCAAGGACACGTGTTGGAGCATTGTACTAAGGAAACAAGAAAGCTTTAGTCAGTTTTCGTTCGACGTTTTGTCTTGATAAACTTTCGTATCTGCAAAGTTGGCGTATTACTCTCCATTGATGGTGTGGCCCCTGTAAAGATAGTCTGTGGATTCTTCCACAACAATCTAGTTAACCCCTGCTAGGAAATGCACAATTCCTCTTATAATTTTCACCATCACAATCTTACAAAATATATAACAAGTATTCATTGGTCAATCACCTTCAATCTAGCTTGCTGATTGGTCAGTTCCGACCAATCAAACCGCCTGCACGCGACCTATCTTTTTTCCCGCTCATATGCTGTGTAGTTTCATATCATTCATTACTACCAAGTGCCAAGATGTAATCTTCAAGAACTCCCATCTTAACCATTGCGATCAGACGTTAAAGACTATTACCAAAATTCACGCAAGTACGAACACTGAAATCTCTTCTGAACTTTTACCAACTTTACAACTCACAATTCCAAACTTTATTCTTCTAAATTACAATTTAATATTACTTCCTTTTAATATGAACTCAGGTACAACTATTACCTAATCAAAGGGACACGACTCTGTCCTACCTTTTTAGTTCGCATGCATGTATATCAAATATTAATAAATTCAGTTGTTATGTTTTGAAATCATTCCGTTCAGTTTTGTATTCTATACTATGTGCTATTTACGTCAAATATAAATTGCATTGCGTCCACGCATTGTCCTTAATCCCATCTTTCCTAGCCAAAGTTAAATATTGGTAACACTATCACTACAATAATGGCAACCCCGATGTTCGTCATTCGACGTTCACAACAACAATGGTAACACCGTCGCTACAAGTCAATAAACACAATGCTTTTTACATTCAAAAAAATAAGATCATTACCTTACTTGCAGATGAAACGACCTGCTGAAGAGGTATATTTTCATTGCATGTGTACTGTCTTTGTGACTCAAAGTGATGAACCTATCACTCATCTTTGGTTAGGAAAAGTTTAAGGAAACCCACTTGATCCGTATCAAACAATATAAGATGTGATGTGATCAGCCTGTTTTTTTTTTCAACAGGTGTCAGAAGACGTGGTACCCACCGATCAGAAACCTTTGTCAGGCTAAGTTAATTGTGCAGAATATTCTCAAATATCTCACGAGATATGCTAATATCCCTGGCTATTTAATTTATTATCAATCGATTGTCATCCATTATCATCTGGTGAACACTGTCAATGCCTTCATCGGTAGTGGCAGTCGCAGCACGTCTAAATATTGGGTCATCTCCCTAAATTCAGCAGCCAATTTTTACACTGTTAATAAAACTGGATCGTCATCTCCTAATGTAGCAACATTGTCAGCATGAATGACCTTGGGCGCTAAACCCTTTTTTGAAGGTACTCTATAACTCCACGATGTCAACTTTTTTCCATTCTCAAAGTGTTATAGTGGAACACACCTATTCTATAGTTAATAGACTCTCTCACCTATAATAAGTAGTAGTAGTAGTAATCGTGCCGGACGACCGTTAGTCGGATATTAAAGTATCAGCCACCGAAATTACTGCGCCATTACCTATTAAATCAAGTTCCTAACGTTTTGTACGTCGAACCGATTTTAGGACCGACTTAGTACAAATACAAGCCTCTACTGTGAAACTAATCTACAACACAAAGGAAGTCGCTACTAGTTACTTTTGAAGTACTTTTGAACAGTCAGCTTTCAATTTACCTTGAAAGAAAAAATTCCCGTTATTAACAAGAAGAGTTTGAAAAGATGCATGCAAGATTTCACAGCTCGAAGCTTGTCTCGCTAGAACTAATTACAACTTACTAGGGAGTTTGATCCTCACTTTCTCATAATTTCGGCCTATGTTTCATATCTAGACTTCGCTTAGAAAATCTGCCTTCATTTTCAGCCGATGAAATTTTCAGCCGAACCTCGTAAATAAGTGACCGATTGGGAATAAAATGTGCTGTAGGCTTGGATGTGCGGGTGGTGTAATGGATAACGAATGAGAAATCGGAAAACCGGGCTCAAGTTTTAAACGAGGTCGTTACATTCACTTACGTGAAATCTCTTTGGGCGAAAAGAGATATGATCACCTCCGCCTCTTGCCAAAACTCATTGCGCCAGCGTGATAGGATAATAATAGCCCATCCCTCTCATGATCTGGTGAGGGCCTATGTGCAAAAAAACGACCTTCACAGTCAAAGAATAAAGAAATCTTTACTTATTAAGATATAGTTATCATTGTTATTTATTCACTTTTGTGTTCAATGCCTCTTCAGGACTTGGATATTCATGACTCTCCACAACTTTCCGTTTTCTGTTGCCCTTAGCAACCTTTGACCTTTTTGTACATATTCCCTGTTTCTTCTTTACTTTTCTTGTCTTCCGTATGTCCTGCGAGGGGAATTCTTTTTTTTTTTTTTTTTTTTTTTTGATTTCTTTTCCCTTTAAACTTAAACTACTCCAATAGAACGGTAAAAATTCCCAGTTATGAAAGACCCGGGCAAAAGCGGGTTATCCTGCTTGTTCAACATAAGCGTTACCTCGTGTACCTATTTTCTTAAAACCTCCCTCAATATTTACATGGTGTCCCCATATTGTTAACATTCGTCGGTAGAACTACATCTTTGAGGATTTAAAACAGTTCTTTATCTATGAGATGACATATTACCGAAAAGTTCGATTGTTTTCATTCCTATTCTTCTGTTTCTAACGACATTCCCTTATCTTTGTAGACTTCGCTTCGTGTCTGGAAGCCAACATACGCTATTCAAATGCGCCTTCGATTTGCTGTGTCACTGATTTCAACGTCTGTCACTTCCATTGTGCTATCCCTGGGCTTATGGCTATATCACGTTGAAACTCCGATTCTTGTCACTCATGTATCGAAAAATACATGATCGACTAAACGCGTACCATGGATGGCACATAACTGACTGACTAGAGCAGGGCTTCCCAACTTTTTTTTACGCTATGCCCCAAATAAGCATCTCTAAGATCGTGATTTTCTCCACCCCGTGTCTTATAATTCTTATTATTCAAAAAATGGACTCCTATTCACGTTAACTTAATTTTCCTGAAGAACCTAAGACGGCATATATGCAATAGTATTATCATTCAATTTTGGAATTTTTCAGTATTTATAAAAATATTGTTACTCATATAATTGCACCTGTACATACATACACACAAATATTTTATGTAGGTATACTGTTTATACACCATATGTATCAACTCGTGCGCACACACATACATACTCACAAAGTCATTAGAAATTGGGAGATAAGTTTGCTGTCAGTGCCAAAAAATGTCCTTGTGCCAGACTAAGCTGGCACAAGGACATTTTTGGGTCATCTACTATGAACAATATCGGTTTACAAGCTTGCTATTTATAGTATGACAGATGCCCATGTGAATGAGATGTTTTAAATCAATAATATTTAAGGAAGTTGAATTTAGTCACTAAATAATGATTTTATATTTTGTGGATGTCCGTTGTTCTACACAACTTTCTGTCTTTTGTTAAATGATAAAACCAATATAATTATTTTTAATTATTGCATCTTGTTTCAGCTCTCTCTCTCTCTCTCTCTCTCTTCTCTCTCTCTCTCTCTCTCTCTCTCTCTGTCAGGATTGAATCCTTTGAGGATTAAAATAATGTTTGAATGTAATTATATATAACCTGAAATGAAAAAGCACTTTGAGCATACTGTCAATTAAAATTAAGAGGAAATCTAGTCATAGATAGATACGATGCAGGGGGGAGATATTTTCACCCTCTTCCTATATATAGACGAGTGGTTCCCAACATTTTTTTTTCTTTTTTGCTTTTTGGTCATGTCTCACCTAAGCATGGATAAAATCGTGATACTCCCCACCTGTAACATATAATTATTATTATTCAAAAATAATCAACCCACTTGACCCAGGGCAACACTACCTCCTCAAAGCACCTGACATAGGCCTCTGTGTTGAATCTGACACCCTCACCAACAAAATCGGGAGGTCTTTTCTTATCAGGACGCGCAGAGATAATTTTACGAGTTGATTTACCTTCGTAATCACCATTAGATCCATCCAGCTCTTTCCGCATCCTCTGAACTGTCCTCAGATTGACACCCAAACACTCTGAAATGTTCGTATTGGAGATCCCGGTGCGAATACTAAGTAGTACAGTATGACGTTTCCAAATTTCTGGTGGAGCGAATTGCGTCTTGGTGCTTCTTCTCTCACAGACGGTGCCCAACTGACCCAACTATACTGTGCAGTGGACATAGATAGAAACAGATAATGCGCCTGCGCGAAATTAAAATATAAAATGGCGACAATCTAACCCTTGCATCCTTTTGAATTAGACCATTAGTATTAAAAAGTGCTCAATACACATATTAAAAAAGGTTGAAACCAAGGAAGCGGAAGCGGTTGATCACCTAATTTTTATACCTATATACTTGACTTGACTTGTATCGGTTTTCACCTTGATCGGGTTGAACCAGCTTCCTCCCGAGCAAGTACAGCATCACGGATCATCACTGCCCACGCTCGCCGATCCTGAGCCAGGTTACACGAAATGGCGAGCCAATCGCGATTCCATCGTCGAAGACCAACTACTTGTGGACCCGATAGTACTACTAGGTCATCCTTGATTGTGCTAGCCCACGTCCTCAGCTGCCCACCGACACGTTTTCGCCAGCCAGCAAGAGGAGGGAAAATTACATCGCGGATGAGTTCTCCATCCGGGCGTCGAGCTACGTGATCGAACCATCGGAGACGACGCTGGAGCAGGACGGGTAGAAGAGAACGGAGACTATATACATACTCAGCACATACGTAATTACATGTATACACGCAAGTATTTTTATATATGCATACTTTATCTGCACCGTATGTATTAACATGCAAACACCGACACACACAAACATACTCACAAAGGTGCATTAGAAAAGAATTCACTGTCAATAACTCATTCTTGAAGTGACCCCCTGAAAATGACCCCTCCCCATAAGGCCTACGCCCCACCCTGGGAACTACGGTTCTAGAGACATTTAAAATATGTCAAAACCAAACCTATTTAAACATGTGTCCTATCTAAATACATGCATAAATAAATGGAATATTTTAAATGTTTTTGCGTATTAAATCCTATTAGACTATTTAATATATATTTTAATCGTTTTTATTTATTTTATTCTTGTTGCCTGAAGAAAGACAATTTCCTGGTTTTAACTGATTTCAAAAATGAAATAATCCTCTTAAGCCAACACAATTATTGTCAATCTTTCATAAAGTAAATAAACCGCCATCATAATAACGAGTCAGGTTCGCTATAACGTTCATCTCCTCTTAATTTTTTACGTTTCTTCTCTCACAATTCAAGTTTTGTAGAACTTCCTGTTTCCTGTTTTCCAGTCAAATCAAATAGCAATAGTTATTTTCTGTTTTCTTAATTCTTGCTATTTATTGTCCTTTTTCCTTAATAATGTCTTTTCTCATATTTTCACAGACTCAGTAACCCCCTTACGTCTTAGTGGCTTTATTACCTTGCTTAGAGGGAAATTATTAAAAAAAAATGACGATTCGTTTTAATGGTTTCAGTGAAGCCAATTTTCAGACAAATGACCTTCATCGTTATGCGCAAAGCAGGGGCAAATCTGCTCGAACCAAATTCTCCCTCGCCAAAATTTCCCAATCTAAGAGTGAAAAAATTTGTCCGAACAAATCACAGAATAAGAATGAGTTTACTGATATCTCTTGGGTTAAATTTTGTATACCACGTGGCCTGACTGTTTCAGATCAAAAGACCAGGTTTGGGGTCGAGTTTACGTCAACTTTCGCAAAGCAACATATCTTCCACTTAATTTAAAAGCTAACAACATAAATAAGAACGCGTATGTCTATGTAAATACGCGTGTCACGAAGAAGTCTTTTTTTTAATCAATTCACCCTTAGAAAGACAATAAAGCCACTATGAAAAAGGGACGTACTGAATGTGAGTGAATATGACAAAAAAAGTAAATATTATTAAGGAGAGAAAATAATTTAAAAAAAACTGTAATTAAGACAGAAGATAACGGTTGACATTGCACTTATATTTTTGAAGGTCAAATTTGACTGGAAATCTAGAAGTTGGAATAGTGTTTATCATGAGAGACGTGCGAGAGAAGAAGTTCTTTTATTGTCCTTTGTCTTCATTAAAGTTTTCTCGTTCACTCGCAGCCCCAGTAACCTCTTGCGTCTATGTAGCATTATTTTGTCAAACAATTAAGAATTATAAAACAAAATGGAGGACTTGAAATCTCATCTTGCTCGTTGGTTCCACGGAGTAAATGCGACTCACTCAGGGCAGCACTAAATTTAATAAAAAAAAAACTTGATTCACCCGTGGGGAAATATAAAGGAAAACTGATACGACCAACTGTTGAGATTTGTGGAAAATTAATATATTTTAATCAGAGACGGTAAGTCGCAAGTGAAGTAGATTAGACTTAATAATAAATGAATTCCTATCTAAATTTTGAACTATACTAGTAAACTGCGATGGCAGCGTACACAGGGGATTAAAGGAAAACAGAGACAAGACAAAGACGCATACAGCAAATATATCAGTTGGTGTGTTCTCTCTAGTCCACCATATCCATCTGATCTTGCATCAGACGATTATTAGCTTTTTAATCCATATTGGTGAAAATTTTTCTCCAATGAAAACAGATTCAAGAGAATGATTTTCCCATTAGAAACCCGCGGAATTCTATCCAAGAGTTAACGAAGAAATGCCTGAAAAATGGCAACAACTCATTGCAGATAATGACGAATAATATAATTGAATGAAATGTAATTTGACTTTGTTTTTTACTGAACAAGAAAGCAGATAAGATCTGTTAATTATTTTATAGTTTCAACTAATATTTTCTAATGACAATAACTGTTCAAGATCAAATGCACATATATGGAATGATAATGTTTAAAAATCAAGCAATGCTATTCTATTGACAAAACAAAGCTGCCGCTTGTTGAGCAAATAATACATTTAAAAAATAAAATCGAATTAAAAACCAGATGCACTTGGAATAGAGATAAATGCTAGGAGTTCAAAAGCTGATTTTAAAGGTTGAAAGGCGATTTAAAATTATTTTTCTGTAATCATTTTAACCCAGACGATAAAAAAAACCCACTCACACGCAATATGTAACTAAAAGTGAAATAAATAGGACAAAAAAAAAAAAACAGGTTTTAAAGCAAACGGAAAATAATGACACATTTTGCATCTAAAATTTTTGATGAACATAGTTGACAGGAAAGCAAGAAGCCGGAAGAGAATTTCACAAGCCAGAGATGTGACAGAAAAATCAAACTTTCAACTTATTTGGCCATAAGCAGTGGCTCAGTCCGAAAATATGCACTCCTTCTCTGAGTCGGTATGAGCACCTCAGATCTTAAATGACGTTCTCTCCTGCCAATGGACGCAGGTTCAAATGCCACGAGAGATCATGTTTTTCTTTATTAAAATTTAACAAATATATATATATATTTAATAAATATATATATATATATATATATATATATATATATATATATATATATATATCATAAAAATATCAAATATATGATATAGTTTAGATATAAAATGATAATTTGATATAAATGATAATTTGATATATATATATATATATATATATATATATATATATATATATATATATATATATATATATTCCTCAATCCGAGCCGCTATCCGTTACCCGGTGTGTCTCCTGTCAAGCATAAAAGTCTTAAATACAAAAAGACAAATCATACTTTGTATTCTCCGTCAAATCGCCTGATTCCAGATTTGAAATGCTGTAAACGTTGTAGATACAACACTCTGATCTTAGAAATATATAAAGGTTCTAAATAACAAGAAGCAAAATAATACAAAATTGCAGACAAAAAGCGTAATTAATGAGAGCCAGGAAAAGGCAGATGTGTATCAGTTACTACACTCTGATCCCAGGTAGAAATGTATAGTGGTTGTACATACCCATAAGCAAATTAATATTATCCATTCACGACAAGAAAACGTAATTTATTCAAGCATATACATATCGAGCAGATACTACGAAAGACTCTTAGAAAGGCATAATGGATACAATATAACTTCGATAAGTGGTTCCTGTAAAAGAAGAGTACAAATCTATCAGATACTACAGCTTGATCATAGGTAGAAAGACACAATGGTTATAAGTAGCAATAAATAAACGAATACAATATAATCTTGATAAGAGAGTGTAACTGGTTCATGCGTAGAAAGGGTACAAATCTAACAGATACTCAGGTACACCGTGGAAAAGCATAAATGCCTCACACAACAATTAGCAAAATAATAATATAAATTTTCAGTCAGAAGTGTAATTAATTCGAGATCAGTAGATGCAGGGGCCGGGAATACACAGCTCTTTAATACAAAGGAGAAAGCTGTAACCCTCATGTATAGAAAACTAACAAAAAGTGGCATAGATATAAACGTTCGTATCGAATAACGAAAAAGCTGTACAAGTAGCTCGATTGATTTTATTGACGAATATATACAAGGCCTGCATGAGTTTACGAGATGTGTATGCCGTGATCATGCGGTGACTGTTTTATTAAAGATCCAGGCGG